GAAATTCTCCGAAGGTAATAGTGATCGTAGCCGTATCTCTCCGAAAGTATCAGTGACCGTAGTCAGAAATCTCCAAAAGTAACATTGATCGTTGTCAGAAATCTCCAAAAGTAACATTGATCGTAGCCGAAACTCTCCGAAAGAAATTGTGATCGTAGCCGAAACTCTCCGAAAGTAACAGTGATCGTAGCCGAAAATATCCGAATATACAAGTGCTCGTAGCCGAAACTCTCCAAAAGTACCAATTAATGATCGTATACGAAATTTACCAAAGTATCGGTGATCGTAGCCGAAACCCTAATGAAAGTAATAGTGATCGGAGCCGAAACTCTCTGAAAGTAATAGTGATCGTAGCCGGAACTCTCCGAAAGTAACAGTGATCGTAGCCAAAACTCTCCAAAAGTAATAGAGATCGTAGCTGAAACTCTCCAAAATTAATAGAAATCGTAGCCGGAACTCTCCGAAAGTAATAGAGATCGTAGCCGAAACTCTCCGAAAGTAATAGTGATCGTAGCCGAAACTCTCCGAAAGTAATAGTGATAGTAGCCGGAACTCTCCGAAAGTAATAGTGATCGTAGCCGGAACTCCCCGAAAGTACCAGTGACCGTAGTCAGAAATCTCTAAAAGTAACATTGATCGTTGTCAGAAATCTCCGAAAGTAACAGTGATCGTAGCCGAAACTCTCCGAAAGTAATAGTGATCGTAGCCGAAACTCCCCGGAAGTAATATTGATCGTAGCCGAAACTCTCCGAAAGTAACAGTGATCGTAGCCGAAAATATCCGAATATACAAGTGCTCGTAGCCGAAACTCTCCAAAAGTACCAGTGATCGTATACGAAATTTACCAAAGTATCGTTGATCGTAGCCGAAACCCTTATGAAAGTAATAGTGATCGTAGCCGAAACTCTCCGAAAGTAATAGTGATCGTAGCCGAAACTCTCCGAAAGTAACAGTGATCGTAGCCGAAACTCTCCGAAAGTAATAGTGATCGTAGCCGAAACTCCCCGGAAGTAATAGTGATCGTAGCCGAAACTCTCCAAAAGTAACAGTGATCGTATACGAAATTTACCAAAGTATCGGTGATCGTAGACGAAACTCTCCAAATATACAAGTGCTCGTAGCCGAAACTCTCCAAAAGTACCAGTGATCGTATACGAAATTTACCAAAGTATCGGTGATCGTAGACGAAACTCTCCGAAAATACCAGTGTTCGAAGCCGAAACTTTACCAAAGTATCGGTGATCGTAGCCGAAACCCTTATGAAAATAACAGTGATCGCAGCCGAAACTCTCCGAAAGTAATAGTGGTCGTAGCAAAAACTCTCCGAAAGTAACAGTGATCGTAGCCGAAACTCTCCGAAAATACCAGTGTCCGAAGCCGAAACATTACCAAAGTATCGGTGATCGTAGCCGAAACCCTTATAAAAGTAAAAGTGATCGTAGCCGAAACTCTCCGAAAATACCAGTGATCGTAGCAAAAACTCTGATCGTAGCCGAAATTTAATGGACACTTTTGCAAAAATGGAGCGCTTAAATAACCTGATCATTTAACTGGCCAAAATAGGGTATCACAGAAAGTAACACAAAATTTCACGATGCCATTCATCTGATGCAGTTTTGATAAACACAAAGCATAATATTTATAAATCAAGTTTTGAACTGATAATCCCCAAGTCAAAAATAATTAAACTTAACAATAGAGTTTAAATGACACGACATGAGTTACGAACGTTACAGGAATAACTAAATGTGATTTGAATAAAATTATATGATTTCGGTATATAAACATCTATAGACTGAGCTTAAGTTAAAAAAAATCAACGACGAGATTTTCGATGTCGTTATATTTCTAATGAATATGAATTCCTCCTGACAAAGGTTTCCCACATCTCCCCAACATTTTCAACATTTTTTATATGACGTCTATTTTCATTAGATATTATCTTCTTACAGAAATTCTCGTTGCCACGAGATTTCAAAATCGCCACAGTAACTGAGGTGACCAATCACATCACAGTAAAATATAATTAAAGAAAATACAAAATAGTCCCCGTTTTAAAGGGAAAACAGTATAACTTTATTTGTTTTAGTAAAGAAAGATTTCCTTCCCTTGAACACGCTAGAGGAATTCGCTTTTACAAAATTAGTTTACTATCTAAAGGAAGAAAACTTCTTGACATTAAAGGGAAATAACATTTGTCTTTTTATTTCCTTAATTCAATCTGAAATATCTAATATTTGAAATTTGAAAGCTGAGGCTTTTCTATAATCTTAAACTTTGTATTTCCCCATTTTTAAGCCCTTTTTGCTCCTTTAAGTTATTTTTTCAGCATTGGTTTTGGAAATGACTTTGACATTTTCAATTTTAAGGGGAAGTCTCTGCCATAATCATAATGTTTGGTGTGGTAAGTCTTTTGTAAATTAACCTCCACACAATTTTGATAAAATTTGCAGACTAAAGAAAAAAGTCATCTTTGACCATATGTATTTTAATGTTAAAAATAAAAGTGTCGTAGCCAAGCTTTTGAAATGTTTAAGCAACTTGAAGCACAAATGCCGGAGGGGGAAGTGCGGTAGGGATGTTACTTTCCTCCGATGGGGATTAGGGGGACCTCTTTAAAAGCAAAAACATAGCATAAAAGATGCCTTCTGGTGCCTTGATAGCAAAATGATATACAAAAAAATAAAGAAAAATAGACCAAATGTAAAAACATGTCCGTGGGTCTCACCAAGATTCGTAACTTATGCATTTCTCTTCGTTGTAATAGAAATACGAGACAAAAATTGGTGCTGGTGTAACATTCTACGTTCGAGATGGAATAAACGCAGCCTCAAGACAAGATCTCTATAGTAACAGCCTCGAGACATTTCAAATATTGTACAATTTCTCTGTACATATTTATATATATAAATACAATAACTTCAAATATTGCACAATTTATAGAATAAATAGACTTTAAACTAATGTTAGATTATGAAAAAAAATTCCCTTAAAGAAACCATAACAAAAGACGTTGTTTAATTATTTGCTTGAGTTTTATATAAAAAAAGAAGTAACCTTATCAAATTGATAAGCAGTGATAATTTTCAGCCTTTTATTTTCCGTGTTGATGTTTGTTTTCATGTTTGATACTGTTAGAGGGATCTGGAAAAGAAATCATGATAATCATACATGTATACAAGAAAGAATGTTTGTGAAGTTGGAAGCCTAGTAGCCTGAAGTTGGCAGCCGACTTTAGGCTGTTACACTGCCAACTTCACTAACATCAAGGAAGACGCAATGATTAGCAAATGATGTATAAACTCTTCATGTGAAAATTTAAGATTTCTATCCTGAGTTTAATCAACCAAGTAGTCGTTAGGACAATATTCAAAAGAAAGGGGTATAACCCATGTTACAACATTCAGTGTACCTGGTAAAGAAAATATACCAAGTAATCATACTTAAGAATTGATTATAAGAATTGATTAAGCCGCTTGTCTCTCACCGCTGTGGTTTCGAATTATGCAAGAGACTTTGGATTCTTTCATGTGATTAAGCAATCCAGCTAGTGTGCGGAACGTCGATGGCTCTACACAGATGTTGGCTCTTGCATGAAATAATGCACGAACAGGCGTCTGATGTCTTCCTCCACCTGTAAAGCTGGAAAGTCGCAAGTTGCCCTATACGAGGTATAGTCAAAAAGTTCCCGCACTGAGGAAATAGTTCCACAATTCCGTTCCCCTTTTAATATTTGAACTACAATTCCACAAGTTTTATTTAACAAATGCATGATAGGGTGCATGGACACGTCATTTGACTTCGTCGATAAAAAAAAAAAAAAAAAAAAAAAAAAAAAAAAAAAAAAAAAAAAAAAGAAATCCGTAAAGAAAACCAACCCAAAACGACAATACTGAAACTGTTGCAGGCTTGGTTTGGTTGAACCTGTTCATGGACGGTACTGGAAGGTTTAAGTTACTTTCCAGGATAACTACGTTGTCCTTGCTTTCTTGGTTTTTCTTGAGTTTCGTCAGTTTTCATTAATTTAATTGTTAACTCCTGCAACGCCTGGTCTTCGCGCCTTCTTCTGCGTTTGTCCGATGCCCTGCTGGATTCCGTGTAGGTGGTTTGGCGTTGTCGGATTTTGTTTTTGGATGCGTTCATTGAATGCCGCTACCTTTGATCTTTGTTTAATCATATTTTGTGTTTCTTGAAACCTTTAAGTCTTTTCAATAAGTTTTTTGTCACTTGTCAACAAACAGGAAACTCACTAGGAACACACTTTATTTATCAAAATGTCATGTAATTTTTTACAGGCTCCGTTACCGAAACACTGTCAGCAATATCCGGTTAAGTAACATTGCAATAAGTTACTTAGACGATAGCATGACACTTGGGTTAAGATAGATCACATACACAAAAATTATTAGCTATTTTATTTTTAATATAACAGTTTTCTGGATTCAATAACTTTTGAAACGCGTTAATTAAAAAAGTTACATTTATTCTATATATTTTCCTGTCCCCGTCATCCTGTCTTCACATTCAAAGAAAATTTTTTCTCACCTACTTTATTGATGCATTGATGAATACTTATTTGAAATCTTTAAGGCTTTCTATTAAGACAATATTTGCCATGTATAAAAAAATCAAGGGAATGCCTTAACTTGCTTATTCTTAGGTTTATGCCCACCTTGAGACATCCTGTGGTTTAGAGGCTTCCCTGTTGGACAAAAGAAGTGATACACTAGTTGTTGGCCAAATAAAAACATTTGAAAACTGCTGTATAAGTATTTATGAGGTATATTTCTTTCAGATTCAGAATAAGCATTGTTGGCAAAACACTGACTGTCCTATTGTCCTAAAATTCGAAAATGAAAATATTAACGATCAAATTCCTTCACATTTTGTGTTAAAAATGAGTTCTGTAAAATATCTAATTTAACAGGACATTGATAAAAGCGACTTAGTTTGTTTTCGTCATTAATAAAACTACGCTGTTATCTCGGCGGGTACTACCGGAACCCTTATCAGGACAGGTTATCATTGCTTTGCGCATGCGCATTTGTCTCCGTGATCCGACTTTAATAAAGTGAACAAAGCAGAGTAGTAAGGAATTATGACCGAAACAGAGGTACTTTATTTTGTTTATTTATAACTCTGACCCCGATTGTTCGTTGTTGTTGTTTTCCCCTTAATAATTTTGCGCCTTTTAGCAGGTGCATTTAAACAGTTTTTTTTTTATCAGATTATTACTTTAATCTCATATTTTGTTGAATACCATTTTTTTTTAAACTTAGATATTGTTGTCCAGAAAAGTTATATTTGAATTTCATATTTTCTCTTATATTATAATCCTTTTATAATTATAAATTATTGTATTTATTTGTATAATAATTATCATTTAATCTATATAATATAGAGCGCTAATGTCTTATTGTAAATATGATAATAATAGTCATCATCTCTTTGATGAAGATGAATATAATATGATGATTATGATGATAATGATGATGATTATTATCATCGTCATCAAAATTGTCATCAACAATATAATTCGAAGGAACAAGAAGCAAATGAAAATGTGCACACAATGTTACTTTTAAGAAAATATTTTTTTTCTTTCGTTTATCCACTTACGCATATATTTAGATAATGGTAATTTTGAATATATATTTAGATTGTCGTAAAAAATACTACATAATGCAGAAAATTTTTACTACTCAGCATTACAATTCCACTTTGAATTCTTAGAATATTATTAAATATCAATAAAATCAATTATGATAATAATAATAATAATCGAAATAATAATAATAATAATGATAATCGAAATAATAATAATAATAATAATAATAATAATAATAATAATAATAATAATAATAATAATAATAAAATAGTACCTTCTCATATTATTCACATTACCTTAGCAACGCTATATTCCTTCAAGTTAAAACGGAACATGCGTCCTGGACTATTTTTTTCACCCCTCATTATATAATTAAATTGAACAGTTTGAACAGTTTATTTGAAAATGCTGGGCCTCATAGAGGCATCAGTCACATATACTATAATATATACATATAGTATGACATATAAAGAGATATCCACGAAATATGCTGATGTATTACATGGCAAATATAAATCAAAAATGAAAGTGTTACATTATGAAAATAAGCTTAGTTATCAGTTACTTTTAATAACAACTTATTATATAAGATTTATACAGAATTTACATGAAACTCCTTGGTCACGTGATATGCATTGGTATCACTTTTTAAAAAAAAACCTTAACCCGCTTTGAATACGGAACCGCATAGGTTCCATTTTGGTCCCAACAAAATAAGCATATATTTATATTTTGCATCTGTTTTTAAAGTCGGCCCGACATTTTTAAAGTATTATGAATTGTTTTCCAGTAGAGTTCAATAGATTTGAGGACGCTTGTTTAGATTGTAGGATAGTGAAATTTTAACAAGACGCTCAATACTGGTTTATAAGTAGTATGAGTCTAAAATGTTACGATAGATTGAAAAAAAAAAATCTTCATTATCACCATCATACATATTGGAGTTTATGCTTGCGCACCAATCACAATTAATAACATGCAGACGACATGAAGACGAGACATATGATAAGTTTCAGACAAACAGCTTACACACGCAATTTGTCACCTATTGTTTATAAATTTATTGGAGGCTAAGAAGAAAGGCATGCTTTATTGCCTCCTTGAAATCCTCACATAATGTAAATAAACAAGTAATCTTCAAGACACAGAAAAGGACAGAACAGAACAGAACAGACCTGAACAAAGCAGTTTGTAAATCTGGAACTTTGCCAACTCTCGACATTAATGCTTCAAACCCTAGGGAGCATGCTTGCATGTAAGCAGCCATATTGTTATTTTATCATAAAATGACGTCACAATGGCATTTACTCACTCACATGACAAAAATCTATTAAAGTAGATATAGAACTGCCCTTAAGAAGGCAAGAACGAGTACATGGTGTTAAAGATATTACCAGATATAATTTTGATATAGATTTACAGTTCAATACGCTTCGTAACCTAATCAAATTTGGTTCGAGATAATATGTTAGCACAGAATTTGGTTCGATGTATATTGTTATTAAAACATTCTTCATTCATATTTCGAAATACATGTTGTGTAAAGTAATCAAATGTGATTTGCTTATGCAGAAATGTTCCGTCCTAGTTATTTTATTTCACCAAGGTTGTGATACGTTTTAGACGTTGACATATTTGTTAAAGTGCTGTTCATATTCAATCTTTGCAAGGTCTGATTTTTTTCTAAACAAATTCTGTGAAATTATAGATTAAAAATGTACAATTAACTGTCATTTCATTCTTTAAAAAAAAAAAAAAAAACATCAAAAAAAAAAAAAAAGAGTAAAAAATAATGAAAATTATGATGACGATGATGATGATTATTATGGGGATGATGATAATGATGATGATGATGATAATGATATACGTATTTCTACTCCGTTACAGATCTGCAAAGTATGAGGGTAACTTTTTATGTCTTAAAGCATTCAAACTGCAAGTGTATATAAATAGACTCTACCATATTTTTTTTAATATTCAGGCATTTTTTTCTCTCTCAAAAATACATTTTGTATGACCTGGAGGAGTAATGATTAAATCTGGGACAGATTAAATGAATAAGGAAAAACAATATCAACAATATTTCTACCGAAAACTTAATAAAATTGAAAAGATGAAAAAAGTAAATGAAGAAATCTTCAATTTAAAAAAATTGACGATTTTAAATTATCTGTGCTGAACGACATTGTGGTTGTTTAGTTAATAGCGAAGTATTTATGACGAGTTCTCAAAATCATTTAATTTACATGTATCTTAGTTACAGCTGAAATTCCTCTCTGTAATAAAAGAGCGGAACTATTTTCTTTCGTATTTGATATATTATAACAGTTTTTCTTATTATTTTAAAATCAAAATGTCCAAACTCTGTGAAGTTTTTATCGAAGAACTTAATGAAAGTTGTCCTCTCTAAGCAGCGTTAAATTTTGCACAATAATGTTTCACCTATGTTGAACTTTGCGTAGTGATTTATAGTACTTAGTTTGTTAACATAAAAGAAGTTCCTTATTTATGAGTAAGTGTTGCATCACGGTTGTCCGATTGATTTCAAGCTGCACTTGACCGTTGACAGGTATCGTGAACTGGTCACTTTTCAAACAATAATATCTCATTTATTGATCTATACTCATGGGCGGAAGAATTTCAATGGCGGCCGAATGTAAACAGAGTTATCTGACCTTTTATACAAAAACCATGTCAACTAATGGGTTTTTATCGGCGTTGATTGAATCATACGCTACTAATCAAACATTTATGATTAAATATGTCAATCAGAAAGCCGAAATTGAATTGACATTCCCAGTCATTTCTTTCAATTATGTACAATCGGATTCCAAATCTAAGCACTGTTTACCAAGGAAATGGCTGAAAACTTTTCATTTTATTGAAAAGCACACATGATAAATTTGAAATGCTTAACAATGTAAATATCTAATGCTCAGCTCTTTTTAAGTGAATTATTACTTATTTTGATCAAAGCTGGTACATGTATATCTAAGATACTGATATTATATTAGAGGCAATGTATAAATAACAAATTAAATTTAAGTATGTTCCGCTTTTTACTCAAATGAGCGTCTGTATAGTAAAGATCTTGTCATCTGGCTGCTTTCTACATGGTACGAAAGCTGCGAAATTAGCCGAATGTGTACGAAATGTTAACGGATAGAATATTCCTTAGACTATTAATATAAATAAGTATTCCAAATCAGAGATAATGCTTAGACATCAGAATGATAAAGTCCCACCAAGGATATATTGATCGTTTTTAAGGATATTTATGTATTGTATTGAAGTAAAGGGACCTTCATTCCTTGGTTTTGCCTCAAAAAACAAATAGACCAGACTTCAAGTCGTTTTTGAAATATTATTTTTATCTTGAACCATCTTAAGGTATGACAGTGTAAGTGTTATTTGTCCCAGTGTTGAGTTATATATGTTCCATTTAAGAGTCATTTAACAATAATATTGAGATGGTGAAAGTGTTTACATTTGTTGGCTATCGTAGATTATGAAACTGTTGTTCTTGAAATAGCCACAATAAAACTGAAATAAAATATTGAACCTCCGCTTATATGACATGTAATAAATAAAGGTATAGCTCGAAATAGTGAAATTGTACATGTATATATGTTGTTGTGTAAAACCTAAATGTGAATATTAAAACAGCAAAATTAAATGAACATTGCAGACTCGGTTTGATTGGGTCAAATAAGTGAAACATCCCTCACGTCCACTAGCACCAACGTTACTCAACACTTCAAAGTGCTGGACTCAATGATCCAAAAGGACCATAAATGTGAAGTCAGCTACACATAATACTGTTCAAACTCCATGCACACTAGGAAATAATCTGGACCAGACTCTATTTTCACTAAGAAAAAATCTGACTCGCATAATATCATTTTATTCAACTCGTTCAATAAATTCAGCATTTAACTTACACCTATTAATGCCATTTACTTAGTAAAAATGTGCAGTTTTCAACTTGTGCCGCACTAAACTCAATTTAATGAAACATGTCGCTGACGTCGCGTTTCTGTGACGTCACAGTCTTTGCCGTAGACAATAATTCACGCGAGACATAGATAATACTTTAACATAGTGCTGAATGTGACATTATTTGTTATAAAAATGCAACAATGTAAACAAAATAGTAATTTGACTTCTATACAAATTACTTAACCTCACCAAACTAATTGCCAAAAAGCAACATACGCAAAAGACGGTTCAGTTAAATGACCGCTGAGTTATTTTGCATTTAAAACAAGACACCAACAGTAAAGATAAATTAAAAGAAAGCACTTCTAGGGCTTAATGCTCCCAAAATGGGCCTCAGTAAAGGATTCGTGCACGTTAGTATAACTGCGTTTTTTTTAATAAACACCAAACATAGGTTTTTTTGTACTTTAAATTAAACGCATGTGCCATGTCAGGAAATGTATGATGTTTTTCTACCTCTTCTATCCAACATCCTATTCTGTTTACAAATTATTATCATTATATTT